TTTTTAAAATTATTAAATACTTTTATTGGGGGCTCTTACATCTCTTATCACAATCCATACATTCATCCAATGTGTCAAGCAAATTTGCACATATGCTGCCGTCATCATTTTCAAAGCATTCTCTTCCTACTTGAGCCCCTGATATCAGCTCCACATTTTCCCCCCACCCTTCCCTGCCCGCCCTCCCTCACAAACCCTTGATAAGTTATAGATTATTATTTTCATACCTTACATTGTCCTCCGTCACCCCTTACCCACTTTTCCATTGTTTGTCCCCCTGGGAGGGGGTTATAGGTTGATCCTTGTGATTGATTCCCCCTTTCTTTTCTTCCCTCCCCTTCCCCAACCCCCCTGGTATCTCTACTCTCCTTGTTGGCCCTGAAGGGTTTATCTATCCTGGATTCCCTGTGTTGCAGGCTCTTACCTGTAGCAGTGTGCATGTTCTGGTCTAACTTGATTTGTAAGGTAGATTGAAGTCATGATAGTGTGGTGGGGGGGAGCACCAAAGAGCTAGAGAAAAGTTGTGTGTTTCATCGGTGCTATATTGCATCCTGACTGGCTCATCTCTTCCCTGTGACCCCTCTGTGAGGGGATGTCTAATTGTCTACAGATGGGCATTGGGTCTCTACTCCATGCCCCCCCTCCCCAATCACATTGGATATGATTTTGTTCTGAATCTTAGATGCCTGATACCTGATCCGATCGACACCTCATGACTACACGGGCTGGTGTGCTTCTTCCATGTGGGCTTTGTTGCTTCTCAGCTAGATGGCCTTCAAGCCTTTAAGATCCCCAGATGCTATATTTTTTTTGCTATATCTTTTTTTATAGCCAGGCACCATCACCTTTCTTTCCCACATTTGCATATGCGCCCATTTTGTCTTTAGTGATTGTGTCAGGAAGGTGAGCATTACAGAATGCCGGATTATTAGAACAAAGTGTTCTTCACACCGGGTCTTATGTACTTTGGACATGTTATGAGGAGAGATTATTCTTTGGAAACGGACATCATGTTTGATAAAGTAGAAGGGCAAGGAAAAAGGGCAATGAAGTAGAATGGCACAGTGGCTGCAACAATGGGCTCAAACAATTGTGAGGATGGCAGTGTTTTGTTCTGTTGTACAGTCGGAGCCAACTCAACAGCACTTAACAGTTGGCACATTTAGGTACTGTTTGTTTTTTGTTTTTAATCACTTAGGTTCTTTTTTTTTTTAAGGGCTCTTACAGCTCTTATAACGTTCCTGTCATCAATTGTTTTAAGCATATTTGTGCATATGTTGCCATCATCATTTTCTAAACATTTGCTTTCTATTTGAGCCGTTGGTATCAGCTCCCTGTTTTCTTTCTCACCCTCATGACATTTAGGTTCTTAATGTTGAATTTGTTTTTGTTTGGTGTGAGGCATTGGTTCTATTTCAGTTTTCTGCATGTGAAAATTCAATTTTCCTAGCACTTTTTATTGAAGAGACTCATCTTCCTTGCATGGACTTCGCAACTTTGTGAAAAATCAGTTGATCACTAATGTTTGGGTTTATTTCTGTGCTATCACTTCTGTTTCATTGGTCTGTTGCCCTACCAGTACTGAGCTGTTTTCATTACTGGAGCTATATAGTATGTTTTAAAATCAGGATGTGTGAATTCTCCTACTTTGCCCTTTTTCAGTATTGCATTAGCTATTTTGAGCCTTTTGTCATTCCATATAAAAAGTTGAAGATTGATTTTTCTATTTCTATAGTGAAGGCTGTTTTAATTGTGATTAGGATTGCATTGAATCTGTAAATTTTGTTTAGTAGTGTTGACATCTTAATAATATTGCCTTCTAATCCATAAGCATGGAACATTTTTCCATTTATTTAGCCTTATTTAATGTTTTTAAGTAGTGTATTACAATGTTCACTGTTATAAGCCTTTCACATCCCTGGCTAGGTTTATTTCTAGATATTTTACATGTAAATTGAATTTTTCTTTCAGATTCCTCATTGCTAATGTATAGAAATCTAGCTGATGTTTGTATGTTGACCTTGTACCCAACAACTTTACTAAGTAACTCTTATCAGCTCTAGAAGGTGTCTTGTAGACTCTATATATTCTAGAGGATCATATCAAGGAGCATTGAACTGCTAACTGCAAGGAAGGCAGTTCAAAACTCACTCCACAAGATAAAGTTTAGGCTCCCTGCCCCTGTGAGGATTTACAGCTTCAGAAACCCTATATAGGGTGTGTATGAGACAGAAACAACTCAGTGGCAGTTGGGTTTTTTTGGTTGTTTGTTTTGGTTGTTGTTTTGATTGTTTGGATTTTGGTTTAGGATGATATCATCCGCAGATGGAAGTCATCTGGATACCCTTTATTTCTTTTTCTTCTCTAATTACCCTGGCTAGAACTTTTAATACACTATTGAATAGAAGTAGCGAGAGTGGACACCCTTGTTTTGTTCCTAGTTTCAAAGGAAAAGCTCTCAGTCTTTCTCCGTTAAGTATAACATTGGCTGTCGACTTTTCATGTGTCCTTAATCGTACTGACAAATTTCTCTTTTATTCCAGTTGTCTTGAGACTCTCGTATCACTTGGTTAATTCAAACTACCAACCTTTTGGTTAGTAGCTGAGAGCAAACTGTGTTACATTAGGAACCTTTAGCTAGTGACAACCATATGACTCCCTCCTTTTGAGTGGACACTACGTATGTGGCCATAACTGTGGTTCCACCATAGCTGCATTCATCCTCTATTCTTTGAGTTCTCTCCTGAGGCTAATATATGGCCTATCTCAGTTTTTTACACTCATTGTGTAGAAAATTGTTGGTAGAAAAAGGAGGAGGACCAGGGAACCGATTACAAGGAACTGTGTGTGACCTCCTCCCTGGGAGACAGACAACCGAAAAGTGGGTGAAGGGAGACGTCGGGCAGGGCAAGATATGACAAAATACCAATTTATAAACTATCAAGGGCTCATGAGGGAGGGGAAAAATGAGGACCTAATGTCGGGGGTTTAAGTGGAGAGAAAATGTTTTGAGAATGATGTACAAATGCGCTTTACACAATTGATGTGTGTATGGATTGCGATAACAGTTGTATGAGCCCCTAATAAAATGTTTAAATTTAAAAAATAGAGAAAAAAAAAGGAGAAAGACCAAAAAAAAAGAGAGAAAGGAAAAAAAAGAAAAAAAGAAAAAGGAGGAGGACCAACCTACTAGTAGGGAAAAATTACTAACAATAAATTTATGGACCCCAAGGGGAGAGTATGCCTAGTACTATGCTCCTAATAGGGCACTCTGGTCTGAGTTTCTATATACCCCTGGGCCCACGCCATAGACCATAAAACACAGGGACATTGAATCCTGGAACTTCGGGGTGCACAACATACTCCAAAAGCCATACCAGATTTGATGTGATACGAAAACCCCACTAGGTGAACCAGGCTGTACCTCAAACATACCTGTAGCCTGGACTTAAGGCTGAAACTACATGGTGTGTGAAGAAGCAGTAGACAGCTACATCAAGAATATTGAACTGTCTAGTCAGACTAACATTCACTTACTACTTTAGTGCTTTACTTGCTGTAGTATGTATGTATATGTAGTATTCTGGCAGATCTGTGTTGATATTGTGAATATTATTGTAAGTTTTACCTGACCAGCAACTCCCACTGTTTGTGTAAATAGTGTTTAATCACATAAGGACTTAATCTGTATAAATCAATAATCCATATATTATGATTAATAGTTAGCATACACTTGTTTAATTTCCCTTTCTCAATTGTGTTTTAAATACATTGCCATGGGCTAAATCAGTGACACTACAAAAGAAGGACATTATGTTCCAGGGAGATGGTAGATATGATTCTCTACCATAAAATAACAAAGGTGCCTCTAAGGTGAATCAGAGGCATAGAAAACAAAAATTTAGGAATAAAGTTTGGGTTCGCACTTAATCCTAGCTCCAATCTAAGAACAGTTAGTTCTTATGACATGGCCTTGCTCATCTTCATGAAGAAAACATGGAAGATATGCATGCTACAGCAAAGTGTGGTGAAGAAATTAGATGGTTCCCAGCTATCAGGAAAACTAGCTTTGGGGGTCTTAAAAGTACCCGACTATCAGATAGAATAACATATGGAGTCTTAGAGACTTGTTCCCAAACAAGCAGCCATCTAAGTGAGACATCAACCTAGCCCACATGGAAGAAGCACACCAACATCCATGACCCAGGGATTGTAATTATATAATTCAACATCGAAGGAGGGAATGGTATTAGAGCTTAAATTGTGAGAATCAGGTTTGCAGAAGGCTATGGATGACAGTGGAAGTCCAAGATACATTTGTGGGATCTACACAGGGAATAAGCCTCTGATGATTTCCCTTTGACCATAATTGAGGGATGGGAATAATGTGATTGTCAGTATTAAAGAGGCGATTATAGTAGATTAAAATGATAAATCTGACGGGAATGATTAAAACCTTGTCATTTGCTCTCTTTTGATACACTTTAAGTTTGATCTAGTTTTTAATATTTTCTCTTTGTTTTCAAATTGGGGTTTATCTCTGTTGTATTTTGTATTGTTGGTAGTGTTCTTGATTCTCTGTTTTGTATCTTTCTATGTGTTTTTGGTATATATCACCAGGTTGGGTGAATCCATAGAGACAATAACTAGAATAAGTGTTCCTGGGGGGTATGGCAGGAGAGGTAGGGGGATAATAGGGAACTGATATCAAGGAGTACAAGAAGTAAAAAAAATGTTTGTGGTAGCAACTGTACAGCACTGCTTGATATGACTGAATTATTGATTGGTATGATATCTGGATTATGTCCCAATAACAATGTTTGAGGGGGAAACAACTATGAAGGATTTGGTAATACTTTTCTCCCATTACTCTAGATTATTTGGGAATATCCTTCACAGAAATAATTTTATTTGTATAGTTTATATGCCATAACCTTATGGGATCTGTGGATTATTGTATTGATTTTGTTTTAGTCAATGCTATTTTCTTTCCCAGGATGCTCCAAGATGAAACGCAACAGACATCCTAGCAGCAGTGACAGTTCGGATGAAAGTGAGTAAATAGCAACTGGTAACAACTGTAGTTTTACCCTTCATGTTTTCCTCTTTGGCTTGAGGACATGCCTGCTTTAGTGGTTAAAAGTTACATTTCTAATGAACTAAAGTGTGAAGTACATTTCTTTCACTTATTTCATCCAGGATCGATAAATTAGGTTAAAGAATTGGTTTTGTGGGACATAAAATAGTTTGGTTTCCACTTTTCCTTTCCTGGAAAAGGAAATCAATTTGTGATTTACATTGCTTTTCTAGGGAAGAAAAATGGTATGGGAGCATAAAATGTAGGCCATGATTCTGATTGTAGCTCAGGTACTAAAATGTTTGACTGTGAGGGAGTAATTATTCATAAAAGGAAATAACCTTATTAACAACAACCTTTTGGGGAAATGTATAGCTTACCTGCTCTCAACTTTAAGGTTTTACAGTTGATTTTGCAAAAGATACCTTTTCTATCAGTAGAACAGAATGTTATCAGGGATGACTATATCAAATTGAATCTTCTCAGCTTTAGCATTGTTGAAGCTTTTGCATGCTGTGGGAGGTCACATACAAATGTCATTAAATTTCATCCTGAGGTTCTCCTGGGTGCAATTTAATTGTTTTCTCCAGTGGTATGACATCTCTGTGTTTTTTTCCCATCGTATCTTTGATATTCTCTGAGGGACATTTGCTTATTTGACATTAGTGAATAATAAGTCTCAGTATTCTTTTCTAATTATCTTTTACAGATCCTTCCATTCCCTTACTAAGAATTCCATCTGAACACAAAAGACCTGCTGAGGTAAGAGCAGATACTCAATTTTTAAACTTAAAAAAGTTAACAAAGTACCTACCTTCTTATACCTGCAATACTTTGATCCTGAAGATGGGAAGATTAAAGCATGTGCTAGTAAATAGAATTGTTTTCTGATGAAGTGTCTTCAAGAAGGATTCCACCTTCTCCTTTAAGGCAACAGTAACCTTACACTGGTTTAATTTTGATGATGCCACTTAAATGCTTGATTTTAGAATATAAGGCCTCTCTAAGCCTAGAGGTCAAAATGAACCAGACTTGGGGAATTTGGAGGGACCCAGAGAGATCCCCTGGTCTGTAAGTAGAAAAAGTCAAGTCAACATCTGGGGAGTATAGTGCAAGGAAGGATAAGTGAAGAGATTGTCAGGAATAAGTTGGCTATGTGGCTTATAGATCTATCTGTTATGAGCTCTCATAGGCTTTTGAGTGCTGATGGCCCAAAAAAATGAATTGCTCCTTATAAGGCTGCTGCTTATCTTGTGCACCAAGGCTAGTGAACTGCCATAGTTGGATTTGGGCATGGTAATGATTTAATAGATCCCACCGACTTTCATTGTTAGAAGTGAATGGTACGGAATGTGCTTCTTATACCTTCACTGCTGTGACTATACTTCCTTAGATATAAAGGAAAAGAGAAAAATATCAAGAAAGAGAATATCAAAGATATAATGGAGAAAACTACAGAGATCTCATCTCTCCAATGAGAATCTCTTTGGGCACTTATTTGAAACCAGAAGCCTCCAAACCACCCCATACCTCTTCTTGCATTAGTATTTTCTAATGAAAGTGCCTGGAATTTCTTTTTTATTTAAGGTGATTTTTGATAAGGCATTTTGGGGAAATAACATATGGGCATCCCCACAATCCGAATGAGATTAATTCCTTTGTCTTTACATGGAATTTGTAAATAAGTTTAAGCAGATGCATACTGTTCTCATTTAGCCTAAGTACAAGAAAAAGCTTGAAGTTATTCAATGATTTCAAAGCTGCACATGCACCAAGTGTAGGTGATTGTGAAAAATTGGTTGCAAGTTAGGGTTGGTTCAATTATTTCTAAGTGAGGGGAATTTTACAAAGTATTAAAGGGCAAGTATGGTGCCCACGCTGCAGGTCCTGCGGCCCGGCCTGGTAGTCATCCATGTCGAGGACGGGACCTCCACCAAGTACTTTGTGAGCAGCAGCTCCATCACAGTGAGTGCAGACTCCTCTGTGCAGCTGTTGGCTGAGGAGGCTGTGACTTTGGACATACTGGACCTGGGGGCAGCCAGGGCCAACCTGGAGAAGGCGCAGTCGGAGCTGTCAGGAGCTGGGGAACGAGGCCCAGTGGGCTGAGATCCAGATCAGGATCGAGGCTAGTGAGGCCCTGGTGAAGGCCCTTGAGTAGCTGTGTGTGCCTACAGTGCAGGTAGGCAGAGAGCCGAGGCTAGGGCAGCAACACTCAGGAGCTAGTGCAGTACCCAGGGAGCTGCTCCTGCCTGCAGCCTGACAGCTGCCCTCCACTCGCTGCCCATCACAGGCGGCTGTGGAGACAGTACCCCTGGACAAGCACCTATCCCTCTGAACCCTGATTAAAAACCAGGAACTGTAAAAATAAATAAATAAAAATAAAATAAAGGACAAGTATGAGTCATCCAAAAACCAGACATTTCATAACCCAGGGACTGACTCCAATGCTGACATCCCATTCCCCTAAAAGCATTGTGAAGTTGGTACTCTTATTTTTGCAGGTCACACAAATAATGTTAGAGCTGAAATTCAAGTTTTGATTCACCTTGAATCCTGCGCACTAACCAGCATGTACATAGAACATTATGTAGGGTACATTAGTACAGTAAACATTTGTTAAAATTTTGATAGTTAAGAAATATGGGATTATTTCAGTGTATTCACAAATACAGTTGTACTCAACATTTCAATAATGAGGGGACAGCAAATTTTGAGAATGGGGAGCATAAATGTGTGGAATTAAACAATGGCTGAGAAGCCAGTTGAGGCTGAATGCAATCCTCAAGAATTCAGATAGGGTCATTTTGTGCTTTTAAACTGTAAAAAGGTAGCCTTTTGCTGCTTTTGTCAGAGCATCTACTCATGCCCAAGCTTGCTTGAAATAATTGTTTTATGATGCACTTAAGTGGAACAACCTAATTTTAAAATGGACAAAAGTAGACATTTATCCAAAGAAGGTACACAACTGGTCAACAAGCACATGAAATGATGTTCAACTTTGTCTTGGGCCGAGTTATCTAGAAAAACAAAGCAAGTGAAGCTGTGTGTGTGTATTTATCTCATAATTGTTCATTGCAGTATTATTCACAATAGTCAAAAAGTAGAAACAACCCATGTTCATCAGCCGATGAGTGGATAAACAAAATGTGATTTATACAAATAAATGAAATACTATGCAACTATAAAGAAAAATGAAATTCTGATATGTGCTACAATATGAATAAAACTTGAAAATGTACAGATTTACTACCATCAAGTCAATACCGATTCATAGCGACCCTGTAGGACAGGGTAGAACTGCCTCTGAGTTTCCGAGACTGTAACTCTTTATGGGAGTAGGAAGGCCCCATCTTTCTCTGGGAAGCAACTGGTAGTTTCCAACTGCTGACCTTGTATATCACAGCCTAACGGCTACTACGCCACCAGGGCCTCTTTGAAAATGTACCAGGTGGCTAAAATGTCTGATACAAAATAACAAATATTTTGCAATCCCACCTAGTAAGAGCTATCTAGAGTAGACAATTGTGGTTAAGTGAAATGTTTTAATATAGTTCTTCTGTCCATGCCACTATAACTCCCACCAAATGACTGGGTGTGACTATGCAACTAGGGCATGTGTAACAGTAATAAAGGGGATTGGTCATTTTTAGTTGCTACTCCCCTGGACTATAAAGATGAGCCATTTCAAAAACGGGGATGGAGAAATCCCAGGACCCTTAAGAAAAAAGAACCACAGGTAGAGATTTGAAATCTCTGTCTGAAATACCAGAGGCTGAGGCAGGGAGATCATGAGACAGCACAGAGGAGCAGCACCGAGACTATAACATTAGGAGGCGAAACAGTGGACTGGCTTACTGGCTCATGGAGGTAGAGACCAAGGGACTATATGGCTGAGGACTGGAGAGAGAGTTGGCTATTGGCTGAGGAGAGGTTTGCTGAACCAATCACTGTATCCTTTAATAGTGATTATCGTCTAGGAGTTCTGTGTGGCCATTGCAATGGATTATTAAACCTAGTTTGTCTGGAATAGTTAGGGAACTTGAGTATTTCTTTTACTTAGTGTATCTGGAACTAAGTTTTTATCACCTAAATCCTAATGCCTACTTAGATTTATCCTTAAGGGACTTTTCGTAAACTCTTTAATTTGAGATAACTTTAAATAGACATACAGGAACGCTGCAAAGACAAAGTTTCTGTATACCTCAAATCCAGCTTCACTTTTTCCTATTGTTAACATCTTAAATTACCATGATGTATTTGTCAAGATGATGAAGCCATAGTCTCTAGGGCTTCCACCATCTGTGCCAGACAAATAAACCTGGTGCTTTCTGTTATTTTTGAGTTTCATTCCATATTTCTCCCACTCTATCCAGGACCCTCTATCGTGATTCCTTTCAGAGAAGTCAGCAGTGGTAACTGGGTACCACCTAGTTCTTCTGGTCTTAGGGACATGGAAGCTGAGGTTGTTTCCATTCATCTGAGATTTTCAACACTCTTTACTATAGACAGGAGAGACCAATATTTGTATTCTAGTTATGACTGCTTGCCAACTTTCAAGACCCAGTTATTACTCACCAAAGTAGAATGTTGAACATTGCCTATGTGCACGATGTTATGGCTCATAGTCACTCTTCAGGCCTGGAACTGAACTCACCCCATGACCCAACCTTGAGCCAAACAATAGACAGTCTACAATATGAAAAATAATACCAGGGAGAGGTACACCTTCCTTAGAACTATTAGCCATATAAGATCAAAAGAGCAGCGTTTACTCAGGGTTAAAACTCAGAAGGAATAGATAGGAAAGAAGGATAACTGAACAGTAAACACAGGGAGGAAGTTCTACTACATTTTGGGAACTATAATCAAAGCAAGACATGTGAATTGAATGAAAAATCAATTTTCTCTGTAAAATTTCTTTCACAATTAAAAAGTTTCAAAGCAAACGAAAAAACTAAGCCAACATTGACTGAATAATCTGAATGAACTAAACTCCAGAATTTACTCGAGGTACACCAGTTTTTTCATCAGTGTGTCTTTTGTATTCTAGGAGCCAATCTAGGGTACATAAATTTACTTGTAATGTCTCCTCAGTCTCCTCTATCTAGTCTTGACAGTTTTCAATCTTTATTTTTTACTGTCTTGACAGTGTTGGAGAATTCTGGCCAGCTACCCTGTAGAATACTCCCCAATTTTGATTTGTCTGATATTTGTCTCATAATGAGACTGGGATTAATAGGTTTTAGGAAAGAGTACAACAGAGATAAAGGAACGCCATCAAATCATATTGGGGAGAGGTCATGAAATCCATATTCCCATATATACTCGAGTATAAGCTGACCAGAATATCAGCTGAGGCACTTAATTTTACCATAAAAACTGCATTTAAAATGTGCTGGAAAACTCAGCTTATACACAAGTATATACGGTACATAGTTAACAGTAATAGCCTTTTGACTGTTTCGTTAATGTAGTATTGATGAGCTGTTTCCATTGTAAAGTTACTGTTTTATCCCCATTCCCTATGCCATTTTCTGAAAGTTAGTCACAAAGCATAGATTGTGGAATCTAGGGTTAGATATATGGGCAAGAGAAAGCTCTATCTCTTGGAAGACACAATTATTGCACATATTACTTGGTAATGCTCTATGTAGAAGAATTCTATCTTTTCCATCTTTTAAATTTCTTCAATTATTTTTATCAGTATAAACTGATATTTATTTACTTGATACTTTGAGTTATACCCCAATACTATAAAATTA